CATTCACTTGCAGGTGGTAACTATGATATAGTTTTTCACTTGCAGGTGGTAACTATGATATAGTATGAGATCTACATTCAAGGAATCTGAATATATTTATGTAGAAAAATGTCAGCGTGTTGGCCATATTTTTAATTGTAAGAAATTAATTTTCAAGAGAAAAAGAACAAAGAAAAGAAATTAGAGATTTGGAAATACCCTAAGTAGTGGTAGCGACTGGACTACTCTAATTTTGATGTATATTTTGAAAATAAATGATGGGAAAAGAGCGCTTGCGAAAGGATATTTTCAGGTAGGAGGAAATAGCTTCGAGCGAGAGGAGACACCTTCAAAGCTGTTAGACAGAAGCAAGTACATCATAGTTGGAAATAGAACTCCAACTAAGAAGAAATCAGAAAGAAATCAATAAGTGAAATTACCTCCATGCTGCAATTTGATACCCAATTAACCTTCATTCGAAGAATAACTGATGCTCAGTCTGGTGGCTTTCTCACTTTATATTTAATCCTGTTACATTCAAGTTATATTCGTGGATTCCCGAATGCAAAAGAATTCAATCCCGTTACATTCAAGTACTAAATCAGAGACCGTTGACTATCATACAGTTGACAAAAACAGCATCAAGAGAACTTTTAATTGTTCCCCGTACATGCTCACCTGATATTCATCATCTATCTTCTTCTTAAACTCTTTTTCTGTTTTTGCATTAAAAACAATATGACATGCAATGTTACACATCTGTGGTTCCCTCATACGAAACTGCACAAAACCTTCTGTTAGACCTAATTTTAACAATTTAGGGACATCACGGATTTCAATCATCATTAAAAGAGTAGTGTACCTCATACACAGAGTTTTCAATATGGTCACCCCGAGAACCTCGCCATGATTTTTTGCACTGTCCACAATGCGATCTGGCTTACAGTAAGGAAGGGAATAATATGAATAAGGAAGTTGAATTCTAGTAGAAGCCAGTTTGTTGACTTTGACCTTCAGAGGGTCACCCTGCCAAATGAGTGAATGACAGATAGTCAGACAGAGTTAACTCCAATGAGGTATCAAACACTACTACTCAATATAATTGCAGGTATTTACAAAGGCGTGATTTAAATATAACAATACTGTGAAATACAGTTTTTAAGCTGCTCTCTGAGAAACATAAACTTTTGTCAAC